TAAAGACACAGACATCATTTACAATAGCACAAAAATGATTAAATCTAAAATAAATGTGAGATTGATACCCTGAAAAAATAGATATTTTAGAAGACCTAAATATATATATATATATATGTATATATAAATACCACATCCATAGATCAAAAGATACAATATTGTAAAGATCAGTTTTTTCAAATTTACCTAAAGAATCAAAATAATTCCAATAAAATCATAGCAGGTTTACCATGGAAGTGTATTAACTGACTCAAAAATTTATACAGAAATGCAGAGATCCATGAACAGGCAAGAGGTTCCTGAAGTGCGGTAACTTAAAGTCCTAATATTTAATGTAATGTAGCATTGCCTAAAGGATCCACAAATAGAACAGCAGAGCAAAAAAGAGAGCCCAGAAACACACACGTGCCTATGACACATGATGTACAACAGGTTGAAACTTCAGCACAATGAGGAAAAGGATGGGCTTTTTAATAAAGAATGCTTGGACAACTTGTATCCATGTAAAAAGATCCCTCCCTATATATCACATTATACATAAAAATAAATAATCAAAGAGTATAGATCTAAATGTTAAAGATAATGAAACAAAGCTCCACACAAAAGGCACTATAGGAAATATCTTCATGACCACAGGTGAAAATTTCTTTACCTGGCTCACAAAACACTACTTAACACAAGAAAGATAAATTTGATCCTAATAAAGTCAGAAAGCTCTGCTCATCAAACAATAGCACCAAGACAATGGGGAAAGTAGCCCAATTAGAAGGAAAGATATTTGTGATAGATCAACCTGACAAAGAATTTACATTTCGAATATATAAACTAACAAAAAATCAACTAAACGATAGTTTAGCAACCCCCAAGTCTATTGATAACAACTTCTGGCAAGAACAAAGTATATTACAAACACTAATACAACATCTGTAGGAGGAAGAACTAATAGAATAACTAATAGAAGGAATAACTAATAGTAATAACTAACAGGAGGAGTAACTAATACTGCTCAGGAAAATATTTTGGCATTATCTATTTAGTCTAAAGATATACATAACCTAAAACTTATCAATTCCACTTCTAAATATACCCCACATGTATGTATGTATATGTATGCCAATATATGAATAGCTTTAAACTGAAAACAACCCAAATGTCCATCAACAACTATTTTTATGAAAATAGGAATACAACAGAAATCAGTCAACTATAGTCATGTACAACCACACAGATGAATCTTAACATTGAGCCAAAGAGGACAAGTATAAAAGATTATGTATTACACAAACACACTTATATAAAGCTCAAAAACAGAGAAACCTAAAAATACTTAAGCAACAAAACTTTTAAAAGAAAGACAAAGACGTGGTTGTCATAAATATCAGGATATTCATTACCTAGTAGGCAAAGGAGAAGGCTGTAATCTGAAAAGGGTAGGCAAGCAGTTTCATGAGTCCTAGCAATATTTTGATGCTTAATCAGGTTAGCAGTTACATGTATGGACCGTCTACTTTAAACCACAAATTTGATTCATATAGTTTCCTGTTGTTTATTTCACATAAACAGTATTTTAAAAATGAATTCATTTAAATTCTAAACAAAACCAAAAGAAGACTAAGACGCATCAAAACTAATCTATTCAATAAAGAGGTACCAAAAATGCAGAAAAATCTATTTCAAAATTAAATAAAATGTAAAGTAATTATTCAAATGCTGGTACAGATTTTAATGGATAAGACTGATTTTTACTTGGGACCCAAAAACCTTTGGTTCAATCTGATTATAAAGGAAGACTAATATGTTTACCTAAATACATTTAGTTACTAAACTAAGTTATGGTAGGCAGATTCTATTCACACTCTGGTGGAACTCTCTTATATTTGGAATAGACCAAAGATTTGCTTCTAACAAAGAGAAAACAGAAAAAGTATTACAATACAACTTCAAAGATTAAGTTACAAAAAATATGTGGCATCTATGTTTAATTCCCTTTCCTGCTTTCTCAGTCACTCACTCTGAGAAAGGCTGCCTGCTATGTGTGAGCTACTCTATGGAGAAGTCCACATGGCTTGGAAGGGTTCCTACCAAACTCAGACCTTGAAATAGTGCTGCCCTGGCCAATACTTTGATTGCAGTTTGGTGAGCAACGTGGAGCTAAGAAACATTATCCTGTGCCAATTTTTCTGACTTGAGATGTTAAATGCTTGATCTTTTAAGCCATCAAAGAGGACATCTTGTTATACAGAAATAGGTACCCAACACAAATGCCTACTATGTGTCAGTAGGAAAAAAATTAATGAAAACTGAAAATTAAATATAGGAATCTAAACAGCTCTAAGTTACTAGCCAGATGTGACACTGAAGTAACAATTGTTAACTCTGAAAAGCAGATTTGACTTGAGTGCTATGTAATATTTAAAACAATAATCCAATTAAAAGTTACAAATGAAATTGATTTTCAGAGTTTAAATGTTAATCTTGGTAAAACAAATTCAAAAGTTATAGTGTGCCTCTAGGTCAATCTATATTCTACTTGAGTAAGTTCAAGTATAAACTACACCACAGGAAATAGGATTTTAACAAAAAATATATTTTTAATATTAAACATGCAAATAAACTTTGTAATACGCAAGAGGAATATATAACCACTCACTTCATTCTGTGTGTACTAAAACATAAGATATAAACCATATTTCTAGACTATAGCTTATTTTGATTATAAATAAGTACCAGATTCTAATCACGGAAAAAAACAGTGAAATTTAGTCAAAACTAACAGAAAATTTTTTTAAAGTTTGTTAACACAGCTCCTCAGAGTCACGTGTGTAACTGAAACTGAAATACTGAAAGTCATTCAATCATCAATGCATTAAAAATAAGAAAACCAAAGTGGATTCATGACAGTATAGTCACTGGTCATTAAAGACTCCAACATCCGTAAGTATTTAGAAATGACTATGTTTCTTGGTTAATTTACCTAGTGTAAGAAAATATGTTCCAAGGGAAAAATACCAATTGCAAGGACATTAGATTTAAAAAAAAAGGTTGGCTGAATAGTTTTCCAGCACAATTTACCCAGAAGTTTAACAATAAAAATATAGAAACAGTATATAGAATTCTGAAATTCAAAGCAGAATCACAGAAGGTATTACTAGAAAACAGCTGCTAGCACAGAGACAGGATGTATTAGAATCATAAGGAAGGGTTAATACTGGGAAACAATCTTCCATTGATCCCTCCAATTGCTGCACATCTTACACTATAGTTTTTGTTCTAAATTATCTAATTATCTTTGTAAAATGAACAGACTGGGATAAACAGAAATGGTGACTTATTCCAGGACAGTAACAAAATTGCCCAATAACAAAACACTGACCAATAACAAAAACACTGGCTCCCCAGAGAGGTTCACCAGCAGTCCTCTTCAAAAGACAGGAGTTTCCTAAGCTCAGGATTCCTTAGCTATAACACAAACTCACTGGGTATACAACATGTACCTGTCCCCATCTCCATATTCCCTGTGGGGCTTGGGAGAATAGTGCAAAAATGAAGCTGCTGCTGCCACGTTTCATGGTAAACGAAATCTTTTATCTTCAATCTACTAGTTTTAGTTCTTCTTCCAGCATCTATGAAACTGTGGCAGGCTAACTTGTTAGCTTGCTAGTAATGGTAAAAATCTTGGACCTTTAACAGTTTTTACACTTATCTGTATTCTTAACACCTGAAACTACTTCAAGTCCAACAATTTATTGCAGGCATCAACAGACCCCTAAAGAAGCAGTAACTGATACTGGAAAAAACCACAAGGGCTAATGAGAACTAAATATTTCAGTATACAGATAATCACCAGCCACTTCATTTAACCCTCAGGTATCCTTAAGCTTGGACTGTTCACTTCATAGATTCATTTACATTTGTTATCAAGTACTTTCCTATGTACCAAATCTTATTCTCTATGAGTTCAAAAATCTAAGACAAATGTAAAATAGCTGCAAAACAATTTCCCACATTCTGTTTAAAGGGGGGGGTATGCATAAATACAAAAAATTATCATTTTCAGAGAACTTCCTACAGCAAAAAATGTTGAGTGTACATGTTACAATAATAATTTCCATATAAAATTTTTAGTCTTGCTACTCAAAGTGTGAGTAGAAGAACGAGACAAAAGTAAATCTTAAAATATGTAATGAGGGTAATGCCACTACTAACAGACATAGACATACTAAAACCATAACTATTAAATTAGCAAAAGCTAAAAGGTAGGAAAAATAGTCACAAACCATGTAAGGAATATTCAGCTATTAAAACCAGCATAATCCAAACCTAATCTAACAGTCAGAAAAAGTAACAGGACACAATGAACAATCAAAACAAGAACTGTAATACTAAGATAATTTAAGTTCTGGCAATGACCACGTAAGTGTATTTCATCAAAATAAAAACATCTCTTTTTATTTTCAGAGATAGCCCAAAATATAATATATAGTAAATAGTTATGCATTTTTAATGAGTAAAAGTACTCTAATGAGACAGCTCCCAAAATAAAAATATCACAGTTTGACAGTTACAAATTTAAAGAAAAAAATGGATTTCAGTTACTTTGTACATGCTATCGAGAGCACAGAATTTTGTTTATTTGATTTTCTGTATTTTGCAGAAATGTGAAATGACTGAGGAATTTTATAAATGTTAAATTAAAATACATTCTGGCCATAAAGCCATGTATACGAAACTGTCTTTAAGCTATTCTGGATGACTTAGATTTTCCAAGGTATAAATGGTTAGCTATGATTTTACTTATTTTTTTCACCACCTGCACTTTGCCGTAAGAAAAATTACCCTTGGTAGATCATCATTTGATAATTCTACTTTAGATTCTTTATAGCGTTAAAGTCAAATGCTTTTTGAATATTTAAATATTTTTAGCTTGAAATGCTTTTACAGAGTAGGAACAGTCAACAACAGTCAATGAAACACTATGTAAAACATACAAAATAATATACCTCTCTTTTATTTCTTCTTGCAACCTTGAGGAATTCCATAAGGATCTGTAGTTGGGCTGCATGTGATTCCTACAACAGAAAATTATAAATTGTTCTTTTAAGAAATGTACCTCTGAGTCAAAGTTAACTAACACATAACCAGCATGAGGCAACTTCTAAGCACCCATTTAAGTTAGTCTACTACTACTATTTGATACATTTTCTCATTTGCTAGTTGGCGTTTCAAAAAGCAAGCTATTTTCCCTATAAAAATAACCAAAGAAACAGGTGTTCTATAAGTTGAAAACCTTCTTATGGAAAATGGCTTCTTTTCCTCAAACTTGTAACACCAAGACAAAAATCATAGTGAACCTGACAGCTTGTAGACGTGAAAATCACTTTTCCCGTAACAACTTCATTTGCAGGGATAAGCACTAATAAATAGAGAGAAATTCATACTTTTCAGAAGCTAAATTTACTATTTCTAGTTATTACCTACTCAAATAGATGTGAGAATGTATTCTGTAGATTTTAGTCAAAATCAAACCTTTATTTAAAGACAAAAAATTTTAATATAAATTGGAGAATGGTAAGTAACCCAAATTGGTAATTGAAACAAAGATGGACTGACAAATAAAATTTACCAGTTTACATTTACGGGTATCAAAACACAAAGAGAAGTATCTTTTAATATCAAAATTCACAAAACAACCAAGGAATTCCAGATTACCTGATAAATTTAAAATAAATACATATAAAGAGTATTAAAAGCTAAAAACAGAGTAACAATGGGTTTGTGAACAAATATAATTCTAAATTTTTATTTGTTTGAAAGGGAGAACTTTAAAAAGTCCAGTGAAGTAATTCCAAAACAAAAATAAAAAAGAAAGATTAATAAAACTTTCATCTACCTATGTTATCTGGGTCATCTGTTAAAAATAGACATTGGGTCAGATTTCAGAAATTCTGATTTTCTTGAGCTAGAAAAGGTCCCAGAAATCTACATTTAACAAACGCCCAGATGATTAAAAAAAAAAAAAAAAAAGGCCCATCTAAATTGAAGAATCACATATTACAAAATAAGCATGGTCAGCTCACACCCAATCCCACAGCCTGTCTATCTCTCTGGGTAGAGGGAAGGAATCTTTATACTTCAAAGGATGAGAAGCAGGACTGGGGATGTACTTCAGTAGTTAAGTGCTTGACTCTCTTGTACAAGGCCCTGGCTTCAATCCCCAGTACTGCCAAGAAAAAAGAAGCAAAGGATGAGAGGCAAAACAGGCAAATAAAAACAAGGAGAGATGAAGACAAACATAAACTGACAATCAGAAAATTTGAATTAGAACAACTGAATTGATGTTTTACAATTACATAAATTTGTAAAAACAAGGTACCCTGAAGACTGAAATTTTTTCTTGCATAACAAACTGGCTTTGTAATTGGACCTTAGACCCATTCTTGATAGTGAGTTAAACTGTCACAAAGAACAAACTCACAAGAGCTCTGTGTCCTCACAGTAATGACAAGTATCTCGGATTCATATGTCTTAGGGATTCTACACAGGGATCTGTAACTGTCTACAGACCATTTGTCTAAAGAGTGAAAACTATTATCTTTACACAAATTGGGACATAAAAACTACAACTGCTAATAAAGTAATAATTGTTCATTTGCAAAGTTTGAATATTTTCTTTTAACTAGAATATGTAAATAGAACAAGAATGTGACTGATTGATAGAAAGGAAGAAAAATCTCCCAAAGCCTCAAAGTCAAAGAAAAACTGAGGCCAAATACATACACTAGGAATTCAGCACATGACATCTTCTGTAGTTTATTCACAGTTCTGACTTGTGCAGTTCTACTTTTGATTCTTTGACTTCTCAATGGTACAAAAACAATACACACTCAGTAAAAATAGTAATTCAAATCTTTATTTTTTTCCTGGCTAACCATGTACAGTAGGATATGCTGGGAGATGCTGGGCAGCAATGGTAAGCCACAGCACACAGTTAGCTGCCTGGCTGGGAGGGGTAAATAGCAAATACTCTGTAGGAGACTGTTTTTGCTAAGCTGTCATATCTGGTAAATTAGGCGGATTAAATACATTTTTAGCCTGTGGTATGTTTAACTTATGACACATTAATCAGGACATAACCCCATCATTAAGTTGAGGAACATGTGTAACTTCAAGAAAGAAGATAAACAGCAAATTTGCAAAACTCTAATTTCATATGTAAACATGAAAACAAATTACATAGAAGCTGAAAAGTTAAAAAAAAATTAGAAGAGTATATCCAAATACATCAAAATAATGTCTAGCCATATAATGTTCTGCTACAACAGTCTCAGAAATTTAACATGAAGTAACTTCTTTTTTTTCCTTTGGCATTACTGGGGTTTGAACTCAGGACCCTTGCACTTATTAGGCAACCAGTCTACTACATGAGCCATGTCCCTAGCCTTTTTTGCTTTAAGTTATTTTTCAGATAGAATCTCACGCTTTTACCCTGGACTAGTCTCAGACTGTGATCCTCTTACTTAAGATGTTTATACCACCCAACTGGGATTACAAGCATGCACTACCACACTGGGACAAAATAACTTTTTGTTTTGCAGTATTGGATCTTGAACTCAGGACCTACACCTTGAGCCATTCCATCAGCTCTTTTTTTGTGAAGGGTTTTTTTGAGATAGGGTCTCGCAGAACTATTTGCCTGAGCTGGCTTCAAACCATGATCTTCCTGATCTCTGCCTCCTGAGTAGCAAGGATTACAGGCATGAGCCACCAGCACACAGCTACAAAATAACTTCTTAAAGTCTTTTAACCCACTATTAAAATCAGAATTCCAACAACTCTCTAAGCATTTCTTAGAACTGCCAAAACTTCAAAACTTCCAGAAGAGATAATGATCATTTTAGCCCAATTCTATCATTTTCAAGAAACAGGGGTACAAAAAAAAAAAAAAGGAAAAAAAAAAGAAGCAAATACACACATTTAGGATCTTAGTCTCCAGTTTCAGTATTCCTTATAAAAGGCAAGTTTTTGTTACATTTACCCCATATGGTTTATAAGTCAATATTCTCAGGAGAACATATATGCCATCTGAAATCAAATATGCTTCAAAATTTTACAAATCATTTTTTTGTATTGTGCTATCCTCTGCAATTAAAATTTGTTCTAAAGTCAGATAAAAGTATCTAAGAAATGGAAGCAATTGCCTGATCAAAGAATAATACAAGTAAATATGTGAAGCAAATATTTAATTCTTGTACTGACTCCATGCTTTAGTATCCTTTACTATAAGGTATGCAAGACAGCTTTTCAACTGTGAGGAAATGCCTTGACAGACCAATGTAACTTGATCTTTATCACTTTAGTTACCAAGAATTCAACTCCTGAGGGAAGAAATGTTTCTACTTCCACTGGACTTTCCAAATACAATAGTGTGCACATCACTGTTGCCAAGTCGTGAATACAGATAATGACAATGCACTACATACTTCAAAAAAACCTAGAAAAGGGGCTTTTAATTGCTCTCACCAGAAAGAAATGATAAATGTTGATGAATGTTTAGTATGATATGAACATTATACAATGTACAAGTGTATCAAAACATCCCATGGTATCCCATAAATATACATAATTTCATGTTTATTAAAAAATTAAAACTAAAAAATAGGAACAATTAAAAACTGAAAAGACTTCTATGAAGCTGATATGAGGGATAGTGAATAATGAAATTAGGAACTAATTTTTGCAATCACCCTTATTAATAACATTTGACATTGTAAACTAAGAGTACTCGTGACATGACTTTTTTTGGCGAGACTGGGGTTTGAACTCAGGGCCTCATACTTGCTAGGTAGGCACTGTACCACATGAGCCATTCTGCCAGTCCTTTTTTGTGTTAAGTATTTTTCAAGATATGGTCTCGCAAACTATTTGCCCAGGCTGGCTTTGAACCATTGTCCTCCTGATCTGTACATCCTAAGGAGCTAGATTACAGACGGGAACTACCAGCACCCAGCTTTTTTTCTTTTTCTTAAAGAGAAAGAAAAGGGGAAGTTGAAGCAAGAGGGAAAAAGAAAAAAAGAAAAAAGAAAAAGACACTACAATTATTTAGGTGATATATTTTCTGTATATCAATACATTATTTTCCCTAAGTCTACTGTTCAAAAGAAAATTTCTTGACTGGGTCCATGGGTCAAGAGGTCAATGGAGTACTTGCCTGGCAAACATGAGGTCCTAAAGTCAAACCTACTACCACCAAAAACAGAGAAGGGGAAGGAGGTAGGGGGAAGGAAGTAGGAAGGGGAATGGAAAGCGAAGAAAAGAGAAAATTTCTGAAGAACATTCACTTTAGGTGTGTAACTGACAACAGTCTTCAGGATAGGATACAGATCCACCTGAGAATGCATGAAGATCTTCAAAGTATATATGGACACAGAGAGCTTTAGGAAATCAATCCCCAAATACAAAACCTTCCATGTTTCTCTTTCCCTTTTTAATTTTTTTTTTTTGCAGTACTGGGGAGCTTGAACTCCGGGCCTACACCTCATTCCAACAGCCCCCTTTTGTGAAGGGTCTTTTTGAGATAGGGCCTCACAGAACTATTTGCCTGGGCTGGCCTTCCAACTATGATCCTCCTGATCGCTGCCTCCTGAGTGGCTAGGATTACAGGCATGAGCCACCAGGTGCCTGGCTTTCTCTTTTCTAAGACTGATATGCTTACCATTCATCACTCCATTTTCTTTCAAATTTCTAATCTTACTTTTTATATGGATGAGTGGAAAATGTGTTTTTTTATGTAAACAGAAGTTAACCTTAATGCATGGCCCTGGAGTGTACAAGTCTGGTACAACAAAATAAAGCAATATAAACAACTGCCGTTTGAAAAACTGAATGGCTCTAAAATAACTATGAAGTAAAAACCTTTCACAAGTGAAGAAGTCCTCAATTCTATGAAATGAATAGAAGGAAGGGTATGAAACTAAAAAACAGAAATGGAAAGAAAACTAAAAACGCCATAATCATTAGCAAATTGACATAATTCTCTCTATATTAAACAAGTTATTTTGAAATGATTTTA